TGCCATATGAAAGAAGCCAGACCCAAAAGACCTCATTCTGTCCAATTCCATTATGATAAAATATCCAGAAGAATTAAATTTACAGAGACAGGAAAGCTGAGCCAGTGTGGGAAGGGAGGAAACTGCAGATGGGCAAGAGAGGTCTTTCAGCAGCTGGGGCATGTCCTAAAATTAAAAGTAATAAAGTCACTAAAATTACCATAGATATAAAAAAAAAAATCTTAGCTGGGCAATGGTGGCAAACACCTTTAACCCAAGCAGAGGCAGGTGGATCTGAGTTCAAGGCCAACCTGGTCTACAGAGTGAGTTCCAGGGCAGCCAGGGATACACAGAGACACCCTGTCTTGAAAAACAAACAACAACAACATCTCAGAATTAGCTGAGAATACAATTCAGTGGTAGAAAGTACTTGCCTGGCTCTGGGACCACTCTCTAATACCACAAAAACAAAACAAGTCAGATGTGTACATTTAAAACCTTTCACTCTGCCAAGTGTCCCTCCATGGGGCAGTTACTGATCTGTCTGTGGAAGGAGGCCTGTGCTGGGAAAGCCCAGTGGAGGAAGTTCTCAGGTGTCTGTACTTCCCAGACCAGCTGTACAGCCTCCAGTCATCACACTCTTCTCCATCCATGGATGCAACCAACTTCTAAGCAAGAGACCCCACTGTGAGCTCTGCTCGATCTCACCTCTAGATACTACAGCCCCAGCTCTGTCCAGGTCCCTGGTCTCAGGGGTGTCCTGGACACCCGGGGAAGAGAACTGCTCCTGATTCCATGGGACCAGGCTCTGGAGACAAGAGGCCAAGTCTAGGAGTCAGTTTGAGTTCACAGGAAGCCACGAGGTGGTCTCCAGCAGACCCTAATTAGCGCCCGCCCCTTTGTTCCCAGGTTTAAGGAATACTGGCAGTTAGCTTTGCTGATTCAGGGCTCACCCAGGCAAAGAGCCCAGTAGTTCAAGAGCTGGCAGGTGTCTCCACCCAGAATTGAGAAACATGGCGGCTGCTGCTGCTGGGGCAATCTCAACCGCTTTGCTCTTGCCTCAATCAGAGCCAGGAGGGGCAGGAGGAGTCAGATGTCCCCAGGCAGCCTAAAAGAAACTGGCCCTTGGGAGCCCTGTTCTGCCCCATGGGGTTGAAGCCACACAGGGGCTAGAGTCTCGAGAGGGCCCTCTGAACATCTGGTCAAAGTGCCCCTAAATGCCAGAGCTGGGGAACAGGGAAATAGTTCCAGCCACTTCAACAGCGGGCAGCGGGACCCAGGGTCTGCTCACCCCAAACCCTCAGCCTCACTCCTAAGGGACCTGATTTGAAAATCATGGTTTGGATGCTATTTATGGGTTACATGTTGGAGGTTTGGGCCGGGGCGCAGAGGTGGGATGGGCGCAGAGGTGGGATGGAACACGGGAAGGTCCTTGGGGGAGCAGAGCGGTGTGCTCTCCGACTTCCTGTTTAGCTGTGTTTCTTCCTCTCTCATATTCCCACCGTGAGCCTCACCTGCACATGTTTGGACTCTCTCCATCTAAAACTACAAGTTTAAACAACAACAACAAACCAAAAAACCCAACAACCTTTTCTTTGGGCTGGAGAGCAGACTTAGGGGATAGAACGACTTTATTGCTCTTGCCAGGGATCTAGGTTCAATTCCTGGCACCCACCCAATGGCTCGCAGCCACCCATAACTCCTCTTCCAAGGGATCCAATGCTCTCTTTCTGACTTTCATAGACACCAGACATGTACATGCACACATACATACATGCAGGCAAAACACACACACACACACACACACACACACACACACACACACACACAAAATAAGTCTAAAAACAAAACAAAACCAAAATAAACAAATTTTAAAACCAAAATAAATGAAAAAATTTCTTTGTAAAATTAGAGTGCCTCATGTATCTTATACAGTTTAAAAAAAAAAAAAAAAAAAAAAGACTAACCAGCTCTCTATGATCCCATCATTTAAAGATGGAGGAACGGAGGCACTGAGGACAGTAGGGTCTTCCTGACAGGGACATTGCTATTCGGAACAGAGGATTAGATCTACTTCCTGGTGCTCACTAGCCAGGTCTGGCCTACCCTATCCTCCCAAGTACTCTCCCCAAAGCTGTGGAGTCAGAAACACTAAGGGACTCGCTGAAAGCACAGACTACTTCCCCTTTAAGTCAGGCCTGACCCGGGTGCAACCGCAGATGACACTTGGCTGCATTTGGCTGACAGTCCAGCCCTGCGAGGTGAGGCCTGAGAACTTTCACCACTAAACTCAGCAAGCCGGCCACTCTGACAAGGCCTTTGGAGTTTCCTTTTGTTAAAGCTCGGGTGAGTTGGACCCCTGCCACAGCTGGGTTGGCACGTGGAAGATGACCCCAGCGAGTCCGGCCACTGTGGGTGCTGCCTCAACAGAAAGGCCTCTGTGATGTTCCACCCACCCCACTCCCCACACGGGGGCCAGTGTGCTGACTTTCTGTGGCCTGATGAGGCCTACTGCACACAGGGCCGATGAGACAATACTGTCCACTCAGGACCGCTTGCCATTCTGAAATCAGCAACCTGGATCCTAACTGATAGGATGTCCAGCCTCAGTGGGTGGCCAGTGAAGACTGGACCAACGTGTTCTTTCTCTACCAGATCCCAAATTGTCCCAGAAAATGGGACATATCGATTGGGTGGTCAGTTCAGCTATCTGCTCCTGACTGGGTCAGAACTTCAGTACTGAACCTGCCTTCACTTGCTGGAACTCACTGCAGTGAGCCTCCAAATAAACATTCAGGAGCCAGAACACACTCACATCTCAAGCCTTCCTGGAATATTTTCTGTACACACATACCCTCTTTGCACACACATTTCAAAATCATTCTTGTGACAGGGCTTGAGGAGCAATGTTACTTCCTGCTGAAAAAACATTTTTCCGAGTAGTGCTTTTCTGCATCTAAAATATACCCAAACATGCAAACAAACACACACATCGTACTTTACATACCCACCGCTGTCATTTCGAACGTGGATACTTTCAGAGTTCAGGGAAGTCCTAAGGCTACAATGTAAACATTGGTGTAACTCCGTAGCCACTTGTAACCTTTGCCCTGGAGACCACCCCTGCTTTGGAAGTAAATCCTCTTACAGCTGAAAATGTTACTTAGTTTCTCTCCAAGTTATACCTGACTTTCCTCTGCCCTTTCATTCATTCTCCAGCCTTATATGGGCCCTGCGCCCAAGAGAACTTTCTGAGAAGCCAGCCCCATGCCAGGCCGTACTAAGCAGCCACCGACTACCAGTTTGGTCAAATCACGTGACACACTACTTTTCAACGTCTTCATGTGTAAACTGATTATCAGGAAGGGATCAAGGATGCTGTGTTGTTCCAGGAACACCCACCTAGCTGCTCCCTGACCTTGGCAAGGTCTGCATGCTTATCAGTTTTGTAGAATGCGCAGCTGCATAGGTAGCAGTTAGTTAACCGCTCCGCCTCTCTGACTAGACTTCAACCCGAGGGGAATCATAGGGACCAGTGGAGAACAAGCAATATAGGACACGAAGACCTACTCTGCGCTAAGCTAAGGAGAAGACCGTGTTGAAAGGAAGTCAGGTCTCTACTCGGGCAGGGAACTCCCTATACCACAGTCAGCGATCTAAACCCAAGAGAGATAACAGGTCCAAAGTATGCATGGGAAGTACAGTGGCAAAGGGCTCCCAGCCCGAACCTGAGAACACCCGGTCTCAAACGCACCAAGGGTAAGGTAAGGAGGAACCCACGCTAAAAGGCCAGAGAGATTAACTCTAATAATATATCCTGTATGGAACTGGCCAGAATCCAGAATTCTGGTCTTTGTTCTAAGCTCACAGCTTAGTTGGGTTTCTGAACATTCCCAACCCAGTCCCCCAAAACCACTCACACCAGGTCCGACGGAGACCTCAGAATTTCTTGAAACCACCCAGTGTGGAAACACCGTTACCCCAGAACTTCCCTTTCCGTGTGGGCCCCGCGCCTTCATTCTACAAGCTTGGCAAACCTCCTTCCCCCGGCCTCGCACTCCAACCTCCTGGCTCGGGTCTGATCTTAGTCTCCCTTCTTCCTTCTCATGCCCAGGGTGTTGCGAACACGAGTCACCTCCCCGCCCCCACCCTGAAGTCCTCAGCGGCGCCGGGATCCAAAGCAGGACCCCAACCCACAGAAGGGTAGGAAGAAGTGTCGAGGAGGAGAGCATGGTTAGAGATGCGGGGAAGGGTGGGCCCCGAGTCTCCGGCAAAATGGTGGGCTCTACACACATTCTCCGCTTACAGTGCCAGGGCAGAAATGGCAGATTTCGCTGTGACCTTGAACAATTGATATAAACCCGGAACCTCAGTTTCCCCATCTGCAAGTCAGTGGAACCAACAGGTTGGTGGAGAGGGATGGGGCCCCCACGTGCGCCAGGCTCTCCCGCCAGCAGTCATTGTGGCCTCCGGGGTGCAGCCGCGGAGCTCGGAGGCGCGCTCAGGTGCAGCGGGAGCCGGGAACCCGGGCCGGCTGGAGGCGCTCGCGAGGCCGAGGCCCAGGCAGCGGAACCCGGCCGCTCCGGTGCAGCGGAAGACTCCGCCATCTGACCGCGCCCCCGCCGCCGCCCTCGTGGCGACATCGTGCAGCGCGACACGGAGCCAGCGAGACCGTGGGGCCCGGCTCCCCGCCCCGCCAGATGCGCGCGCTCACCCAGAGCCTGCCGCGGTGGTGGCCTGGATGGAGCTGATGCGCAGGCGATTGGCCGTGTCCTTCAAGGCCTGCAGCTTCTGCTGATCTGGCTTGTGGTAACCTTCCATGGCGCGATCGGGCGAGGACGAGGACGCTGGGGATAGAGATGCAGAGCCGGTGGCGGCCCAGGCGGCGAAAGCAGCGGCGGAGGCCCGGCGAGGCGGGCGGGTGCGTTAAGACTCCTTAGGACCCGCCCAAGGGGGCGGGGCGGGGGCGGGGCGGGGCGCCGGATCACCCCAGGCCGACGAGTGGCCTTCAGCCCCGCCCCGCACTTTCTGGACACTTAGAAGCTGCCAGGCCTGGGGTGTCTGTCTGGGCACAGTGCTCTGTTGGAATTAACCACCGACGCTAACGATTTCAACAAAGTAACTTCACCACTACACCAGGTTCTAAGCGTGGCTCAGAGCTCGCCGGCTGTTTTGGGAGAAGAGAGACACTCATCGGTAATTGCACTTTCCTAAGAAAAAGGTTGAGACTTGGCAAGATCGATTAAGGTCACTGAGCTGGTGGGGAGCTGGTCTGCCGCAACAGACTGTCTCAGCTCCAAAAGAGCCCAGGGCTTTAGGAACCTGTACAGGGCATGAGAATGATTATACACTGCCAGTAATGGTAATACTGAGAAATCACTAGAGCAGGCTGGTCTCAGACTAGTAGGGCCTACGGTGAGATTAGTGCTCTTACCAGACCTGCTGGGCCTTGGAGGAATGATCCCAGAGTGGAGGTAATCGAAAGCATTGCCATCCCAGTCTCACTGGATCTCTCTCATTGAATCCATGACGCACACTCAGGTCAGCACTGTTTCCGGAGGAGGAAGCTACATTTTAGAGAGGAGATAAGGGCAAGCCTGTGAATGCGTGCTGGGCAGAGGCAGTGGCCACCAGTACAGCCTCAGTCCGGGTCCTCTCTGTGTCCTCCACATAGCTCAAATTCACAGTCATGAAACAATGGGTCCTGTGCTGGTGAGCACCCCGCCCCCAAGTGCTCCCTGTCTGGCCTGTTTCCCAGGTGTCCCAATCAGGCTGAGTGTGGTGCGTTCTGGCTTCTGGCTTCTGCTGGCCCTGCCCATAGAGGCTGACTCTCCTGGTTCCTGTCTGCTGAGGACTGGACCTGGGACTGGAGTGATGTGGCCTCAGAGTGTTCCACTGTCAGGGCCTTGGCAAGTGCCACCTCTATCTTCAGGCTGCTAACTGGTCAAGGAGGCAAACCTTGGAAACCTTTGGGCCTGCCACCCCTGTGGCCCTGAGGGCAGTGGTTCCTAGCACGGCTCTCCATTTCTCCACCTCTTCAATGGCACAACGGGGACTCATCTTCATCATCTTCTTTGCAGTAGAAACTTATCACTATCTATTTGGGAATGGTAAAGTAAGTTAGAGAGGCATATGGTTTTATTTCCGAATGTTCGTTTCTGTATATCTGAATGTCTTTTTTTAAGATTATAATATCCCCCTCAAAAGACTGCTGGCAATGGTCACGAGACGGAGGGAACTGATCTACTCTGGTGATGGGATGGCCAGACACCCAGATAGTGGTGCCATAAACCCCATCCAAGGACTGAGGAATCTGAAGGCAGACATCCACGGCTGGGCCCCTGGTGGAGCACTGGGAGTCTAATTAGTGAGTAAGAAGAGGGTTTATATGATCGAGAATTGTTGAAACCAAGGTTGGATAAAGCACCGGGACAAATAACCAAATGAATAGAAGCACAGGATCTATGAACCAAAGGCTGAGGGGCCCCCAACTGGATCAGGCCCCCTGAACGGGTGAGACAGTCATTTGGCTTGATCTGTTTGGGAGGCAGCTGTGCATTGGTGCCAGGTCCTGGGCTCGTTGCATAAGTTGGCTGTTTGAATCCTGGGAATTATGCAGGGACACTTGGCTCGGTCTGGGAGGGGGGAATGGACCTGCCTGGACTGAGTCTACCAGGTCAACCCCGGTCCTCGGGGGAGACCTTGATCTGGAGGAGGTGGGAATGGGGGGTGGGCTAGGGGGAGGGGTGGGCGAGAGGGGGAGAACAGGGGATTCTGTGGCTATTATGTTGAACTGAATGGTGTTATAAAATAATAATAATAAAAAAAAATAGATATTACTAATTATTGCATGAATAAATAAAACATCTACATAAAAAAAAAGATTATAATATAATTACAACATTTCTCCCTCCCCTTTCCTCCCTCCAAACTCTCCCATATCCTCTCCTTGCTCTCTTTAAATGCTACTTAAAGATCTACAGGCAACTAACCCTGAAAACACTCATACAAGTAACATTCTAACCAACTAGGAATTCTAACCAAATAGGAATACATATTTATACCTGTATGTGATAACAATTAGTGAAAAGGATGCTAATTTCTATGTATCCACTCTAGTGAAATGTTCCTACCTCCACTCTGGGAATCTAGGATCTTGGCCATAATTGGCTTCTAAGATGTTGTTTCATCCTAGGGTTCCACATTCACTGGGTTCAGTTCATCCTGAATTTCAGCCATATTTCAGTTCTTTTGGTCTTCTCCAAGGTCAGCTTTGTAATCGGAATCTTGGGCTGGCTGTTGCCAGTGTCCTGTTTGTTGGGGTGGATCTGCTGGGGTTGGGCCTTTATTCAGAGACATCTTAGCAAGACCTTGGGTTCCACCTGGCTTCCAGCTCCCTTCTTGCCCCCTGCTCCCCTTACATCCCAGATTCTTTGAGCCTCCTAGTCACACTCCTTGTGGTTGCCAGAGAAAACTCCTGTTGCTTCCTCGATGACCTCCCTCCACTGCTGGAATAAAATTCAGCCCATACACCCACTAGCCTCCCACCCATTCTCTTGTTTTTGTGGCATCCAACCCTGTCTATTTTAGCACACTAGTGCCTTGCCTTAATTAGGGTGTCTACTGCTGTGAAGAGACACCATGACTACAGCAACTCCTATAAAGGAAAACATTTAATTGGGGCTGGCTTACAGTTTAAAGGTTTAGTCCATTATCATCATGGTGAGACATGGTGGTGTACAGACAGACATGGTGCTGGAGAAGGAGCTGAGAGTCCCACATCTTGATCTGCAGGCAACAGGAAGTGAACTGTTTTCCACACTGGGTGTAGCTTGAGCATAGGAGATCTCAAAGCCCACCCACAGTGACACACTTCCTCCAACAAGGCCCCACCTACTCCACACCTCCAAAGCCATACCTCCTAATAGTGCTACTCCCTATGGAGACCTTTGTTTTCTTCAAACCACCACTCCTTGCTTTAAGAGCATTAAGATCCAGGATGGAGAGATGGCTCTGTTGTTAAGAGTACTGCTGTTGTTTTCAGGGGACCCAAGTATGAGAACCTAGATTTATTTAGCCTGGTGTGGTATCTGACTTTGAAATCAGAGCGCTGGGAAGGCAGAGACAGTTGGCTCCAGGCTGCTCACTGGCCAGCTAGTCCAGTCAGCCTACTTACCAGCTGTGTGTGTGTCTTAATGATTAATGATTCTGTCTCAAAAAATACAATTTAATTAAAAATTGATGGACAGGGTTGGGGATTTAGCTCAGTGGTAGAGCGCTTGCCTAGCAAGTGCAAGGCCCTGGGTTCGATCCTCAGCTCCAAAAACAAAACAAAACAAAACAACAACAACAACAAAACCAGTGAGACTTTGTCTCTAAAAAAGAAAACTAACCAAAAATAGATGGACAGTACAGGATGAATGAAACCTGAAGTTGTTCTCTGGCCTGCACACATGTGCATACACATGTGTACGTGCGCTCACAGAAGCACACACCCAACAACATGAAACTCAGCTGTGCATGGTGGTGTACAACTTAATCCCAGCATTGGGAAAGCTGAGCCGGGAGGGCTAGGGCCAGCCTAGGCTATGTATGGCGATTCTGTGTCAAAAACAAAAACCCACCAAACCCATTCCCACCTAGAGGTTTGTCCCTGCTGTGCCCTGAGCCAGCAAAGCCCTTCTCCTGCTTTCTCTTGGTGTTTCTCATTGCCAGGGTCTGAAGAAAGACTGCTTTCTAGCTGTGTTCTCTGTCTCTGTCTTTCTCTGTCTCTCTGTCTCTCTCTGTCTGTCTGTCTGTTTCTCTCTCTTTCTAGATAGGGTCTTACTATATGTAGCCTCAACTGGCCTGTAACTCACTATGTAGACCAGGCTGGCCTCAAACTCACAGAGATTCACTGGCCTCTGCCTCCAGAGTGCTGGGATTAGAGCCGTGCACCACCAAATTACCTTATGTCAGTTCCGGTAGAATAGAGGAGAAGAGCTCTAGCCTCTGGCTCTATGCCTTCCGACTCCAGTGACCTCTTGTACATAATAGGGGCCCGATAAATGCCAGTGAAATGAAAGCATCACTGTCACTGTCTGAGCTAGCACAGCCAGCCAGTGTCAGAGCTGCACCCAGAGAGAGGTGTCAGGAAGATGTCACTGGAGAGAATCTGGTCCTCCAGCCCGTGCCCTCAGTTCTCACCTGTTCGCCTTGAGACACAAAGGTGCTCTGTTGGAAGGTAGGAAGTGGCACAGATGTCCTGTTGCCAGCGTCAGGTGACAGCAGAGGTCATGGCAGCCCAAGAGCAGAGCCACACACTGAAGAAGCTGTCCCTCAGCACCCACCCAGGATCCCCTGCAAAGGGTGGGTACCCTTAGGGTGCAAGTGCTCATGATCTAGTCCCCCACCTCAGCTGGCTCCAGGGACATCACCACCCACCAGGATGTACTGGGAGGCTCCTAGGGGTGCTGGGTGGGCAGCGGGCACCCTGGTGTTGTTATTGGGATGGCTGTAGGAGACATCACTTGACAGTGATGATGGATCAGAAGGGTTGATGAGATGTGGAGAACAGAGCTCTGAGTTCACCCCAGCAGGAAAGGCCAGAGTTGCTCAGCTGGGCTGTACAGGGCAGCTAGCTGGGGAGAATATCACACGTGGAGCAGACTGGAGGAAGCCTGGGTTTGAGATTGACACACGCACTCTCACTCCCACTCCCACACACTTACTCTCACATGCTCTGTCACATAGACACACTTTCTATGCTCTCACTCTCTTTCACTCCCATTCTCTGGCACTGTCAAATGCTGGCTCACGCTCACTGCCCGCCCTCTTTCACGTACACCCTGGCAGGACACACAACCCACTAGCCAGCTGCAACTGTGTCTCTGATGCGGTCTGATACCTCTTCCGTTGGCTTCCTCTCCTGTTGGCCCTCTGACTTGCTCTTCCCTGAACAGTGCTTGTGGCATTACCACGGCATCTTCCTGGCCTCCTACAAAGCCTCTGTGCCTTGGCCGAGGCCCTGGGTGAAGCCAGGGTCCAGCCTTCGTGCTATCGGCCTGAACTGGAATCTCAGACATGGAGGCTCAGGCTTCGCAGCCAAGACCTGGCAGAGCTGATGCTCACTGACCCAGAACTATGTCGAGGTGGTCCTGAGGGATGCTGCCCCTGTACAGGTATCTGTGGTGGCAGTGGACAGGGACTGAGGCCACAGGGCTTCAATATGTAGCCCAGGCTGGTCTTTAAACCCCCAAGCCTCCTGAGTGCTAGGGTTATAGGCACATGTGCCTGGCTCCAAATCTCTTGAGAAAAGGAGTCTTTCTAAGGCATGTGGACTGGGGAATAGAAAGTAAGACTCATGGGAAATGTTGCTCCATGGTGGCTCCAGAAGATGTGACAGTTCTCTGCTTGGCACCACATCTAACTTTCTGACCTGTCTCTATAGAGCTGGGCCTAGGACTTGGCATTGGTAACAAGACCCTCAGGCAATTGTGTTTGGGTCCCGGGATTCGGACAGCAAGACAGGGTGGTAGAACTGGGTACTCCTGGACGCAGTGCTTTGCTGGGCTCAGAGGGCTGGCACCCACTTATGAAGTTCTGTGCCAGACTGGGCTACCTAGGTAAAAACAAGCTGAGATGTCCATTGCACACTTTTACCGGAATAAAGTCAAGGGACAGAAGAACAGGTAGATATTTGTCACAAACAAGGGGCTGGGTGTGGTGGACACACCTTTCATCCCAGGACCTGAGACAAGCAGGTGGATCTTTGTGTGGTGGAGGCCAGCCTGGTCTACACAGTGAGTTCAGGACAGTCAGGCTGCACAGTGAGACTCTGTGTCAAAATCAAATCAAATCTTTTTTTAAAAGCATTTACAGGGATGAGGGAGGCTGCAGAGCTGACTAAGTGGGAAAAGGAGCTTGTTGCCGAACCTGACGATCTGAATTTGAGGCCTAGGACCCACACCGTGGAAGGAGAGAATTGTTTTTCTGCAAGCTGCTCTCTGACCTCTAAATCACACACACACACACACACACACACACACTAAAAAAAAAATGAAGTGTGCATGCGTGTGCACGTGTGTGTGTTCCATGCTCACACCCATTCATATGGACTCAGCAGAAATCAGAAAGGCTGCAAGGATGAGCTCAGAACCTAGAGAGATTTGAAAGGGTGAGACTGAGAAAGATGTTTCTTTGCCCATTACTTTTTTTTTTTTTTTTCAGGGATTTGGTGGCAATGACCACAACTGGCTTTTATAATCAGAAGAAAGCAAAAGAAAATGTCATCTTGAAAAAACCTAGTGCTGAGGCTGGGGGCCTTGGTAACCATCAGTCTCTATTCCTCATGATTATGTAAAGCCGCGTTTCATAAGTCGGGCTGCTGCCTGGGATGTCTGGAGTTGAGAGCACAGCCTCAGGCTGTGGATGTGCCCCTGCCCTTGTTCGGTTGTCCGGATGCAGCTCAGGGTGAAGCTACCCTGATGTGCTCCGACACATCTGCCGCTCACCATCCACCATCTACTGAGTGGGCACCGATGGGGCGTGAATGGCCTCGAGCAGCTGCGTTCCTGAGTGGCAGTGTTGGCATTGCTTTGGCAGCCCTGGGCCCGTGTGCACTCCTGGGGCATGCCTCGGCTGGGTGCTGGGAGCCCCAAGCCTGCACAGGCCTTGTACTGAAGCCAATCTCCATGGCTATGGCCTTGGGACACTTCCTTTGACTCCTAGCCAGGGCTCCTGGCCAGCGTGGCCCTGGGATGAGTCTTTCTGGGATAAGTGCCTAGCACTGCCCTCTACAGCGCCTCACAGAGAGCACCTGACTGAGGCTGTAGACTGATTTAGAAATCTACTGTCCCCCCAATACCAGAATTTCCTTCCAGAGGATTTTTGTGATCTCTCTCTCTCTTAAAAAAAAAAAAAAGAAGTTTTATTTATTTTTATTTTATGTGTATGAGTGCTTTACCTGTGGGCATGTATGTATGTGCACCATGTGTGTGCCTGGTGTCCAAGGAGACCAGAAGAAGGAATTGGATCCCCTGGAACTGGAGTTACGGATGGTTGTGAGCTGCCAGGTGGGTGCTGAGAACTGGACTTGGGTCTTCTGCAAGAGCAGTAAGTGCTCTAAACCACTGAGCCTCTCTCTTCAGCTCTGGAATACCTCTTTTGATAAGGTGCCCCAGGAAGGAGACCACTTTTAATTTCTCTTGGATGGAATTATGTTTAAAAAAAAAACCCCAAAAACAAAACCAATCAACCAACAAACAAAACACTTCAAATTTCTGATTATAAAAGTCAGATATTTTTGCTGTAAATACCTGAAAAATGAACCAGGCAGGCCTGTAATTCCAGATGGTTGAGACCTTCTTGGTCCACACATTGAGTTCAAGTCCAGCCTGGGCAACTTAGTAAGGCCTTGACTCACAAGAAAAAAATTATTATTATTATTATCATCATCATCATTATTATTTTGAGATAGTGTCTCATATAATGCAAGCAAGCCTCAACCTCACCATGTGGCTGAGGGTGACCTTGAACACTTCATCATCCTGCTTTTATCTCTTAAGTGCTGCATTACAGATGTGTATCAGCAAAAGAAAAAAAAATTAAGGGTAAGGAGCCATGAATGATGGTAGATACCTACAGCCCCAGCACTTGGAGGATGAGGTGAGGGGATTATGGGAAATTCAAGACCAGCCTGTGCTGTGTAGTGAGTTCTGTGGCCACTCTGTGCTACATAGTGAGACCCTGTCACAAAGAAATAAAAGAAAGTTCAAGGCCATTCTGGCCTAAAAAAAGTTTTTAAGGCTATGTTTGTAGCTCAAATAGAGTGCTTACTTAGTCCCCACAAGACCCTCGGTTCAATCCCAGCACATTACAGAAAATGAAACCAGGAGGCTGGAGAGATGGCTCAGTGGTTAAAAGCACTGACTGCTCTTCCAGAGGACCAGGGTTCTACTCACAGCAACCATGTGGCAGCTCAGAGCCGTCTGTGACTCCAGATCTAGAGGACCCAACACCCATGGCAAAACACCAATGCATATAAAATAAAAATTAAAACAAGAAAGAAAGAAAATGAAACCATGCATACCCAGGAAATACAGAAAATTCATAAGTAAACTAAAATAATGTATAATTTCATTCAAAGAGGACCACTGTTAGCCTGTTCATTTGACAAATAAAATATTGATTTTTAGGTTGTGCTAAGGAATTACTGCAGAATAGAGTTGGGGTACCTATGCACCTCAGGTGGCCATGCAAAGCTGAAAATGGGTAGTGACTGTTCAGTGTGCGTTTGCTATTATGGTTCTTTAAAATTATTATCAAGGCCAGGCGGTGGTGGTGGCGGCGCACGTCTTCCATCCCAGCACTCAGGAGGCAGAGGAAAGAAGATCTCTGTGAGTTTGAGGCCAGCCTGGTCTACAGAGCAAGATCCAGGACAGGCACCAAAACTACACGAAGAAACCCTGTCTCAGGAAAAAAAAAATATATATATATATATTTTTGAGATATATATATATATATATCTCAAGATCATTAGAACATGTCATCTCTCTTATATTTCCTCCCTGGTATTTAAAAATTCTTCAAAGACATGATAAAATTTTAAAGTATGTTAATTAATTCGTTTAACTAATTTGGTGTGTGCAGGAGGGGCACATGCATGCCACAGTGGGGGTCAAAGGACAGCCTCTTGCCGGGGTCAGTGCTCTCCTGCTACCCTGTGAACCCCAGGGGTCAAACTCAGGTGGTCAGGTTTGGTGGCAAGCACCTTTACCAGGCAAGCCTTTTATGTCACTAGCCACAAAGGTGTTATTTTAAGTGGGTGTGCGCTATCCAATCACGAGGCTGTGTCTATGTCAGGGATGTTTGGACTGTTTTCCACTTTTCCCCATGATGGCTACCTATGTACATCTTTGTCTTGGTGGCATGCCTTATCTTATGAACGAGAGCCCTACACAAGAAACTACTGGGCCAAAGGGTGACGGTCCTTTTGGAGCTCTGGATGTATTTGGCAAAGAGCTGTCCAGAAAAGCTGGTTCTGCTAGCTCAGTCACCTTTGCCTTTAACTGGTGAGGTCCCATCCCGTGTGGGAAGAGCTCTCAAAGAGAGCGGCCGAAAGCCTGCTCCGTGTTGGATGGCTCTTTGGCCATCACTGGGTGTCAGAGTCTTCGCATCTGTAAGATGGGCATTCCTCACAATGCTCATTGTCACAAAGCTTGGGTTCCCCTTTTGTGTCAGGTCCTGTGTGCTGGCTCAGAGCCTTGGGGGACCAGTCTCCATCTGGCAGAAGCAAATGCCACCAGGCCATGACCTCTGAAACCTGCCAGCAAGTTCAGTTAATGCTTTTCTCAAGCAGTGGGATGTAGGTGTGGGGAAGTTATTGGAGTCACATCCTCCTTAGGTTTCTGTTGCTGTGTTAAAGACCATGACCAAAAAGCAACTCGGGAAGGAAAGGGTTTATGTGGCTTACACTTTCTGATCACAGTCAGTTATGGAGGGAAGCCAAGGCAGGATTCAAAGCAGGACCGTGGAAGCAGGAACGAAACAGAGGCTTGCTAGCTTGCTCTCCATGGCTTGCTCCCTAGGCTTGTTCAGTTTGCTTTCCTACACCGTCCAGGACTACTTGCTCAGGGATGATGGTGCTGCCCACAGTGGACCAATCATTAATTAGAAAGAAATTTACCATTTAAAAAAGTTACCGGGGTTGGGGATTTAGCTCAGTGGTAGAGCGCTTGCCTAGCAAGCACAAGGCCCTGGGTTCTGTCCTCAGCTCTGGAGGGGGGGGGGGGAGGAAAAGTTACCTACACCAATTGTTAATTCAAAAAAATATCCCACAGATATGTCCCCAGGCCATTTAGCGGAGGCATTTTCTCAATGAAGGTCCCTTTTCCTCCAATGACTACAGTTTGTGTCAAGCTAACAGAATTAACTAGCCCATGCCACGTGGCCAGCACACAACCAGGAACGCTTTCCAGATGTCTGGCTTTAGGACCTCTGCAGGCTCTGGACCCTGGGCAGCAGCCAGGCCAGCCCCCGTGAGGAAGGCAAGGGCAGGGAAAGGAGCCTGGACATGGCAGAGAGTTGGTGCGGCTCCTGGACTTGGCAGGGAGCCAGCTCGCCCAGGCACACCTCACTTTCTCATTTTCTCCTTGTTCATTTGTTGGCTCTTTCTGATGTTTCGTCTAAACCACAGTCTCACTGTGATACAGCAAGCACACCATAGAAGTCACCCTTTGATTTTTATTTTATTTTGTGTCTTAAGACAGGTTTTCACACAGCCCAGGCTGGCCTTGAGTTTGCTGTGTAGCCGAGGGTGTACAGTTCAGTGATTTGGGGTATTAAATACTCGGGGGAGAATCCAAGTGAAGTGTTTTCCTCTCCCCAGACTTCCTCCCCTGCTTCCGTGGCTGCTGCTCACTAAGATGTATGAGGATTTCTACCCACCAGCAATCCAGCCCTGCTCACCAGCTGGAATCCTCTCATTCGTCGGTTTTGACTCATCTACCTAGGGGTAGTGTCTGAACTCACAGGTTCCGTCCCAGGCCACTCCATTCACAGGTCTGGATTTCCAGAACTTCTGACCAACCAGTAAAGATCTGAGGTTCCCACAAAGCCCTTCAGGGGATGGATTAATTTACTAGGATAGCTCACAAACTCAAGGGAACACTTTCCTTCCATTTGTCCAAAGGATACCGATGGACACCAGATGGGGGGATGGATAGGGCAAGGTGAGGAGTTGGAGTACGAAGGTCCCACGCCCTCTCTAGGAGACACCCCTTTCAGCATCCATATGTTCAGCAACCCAGAAACTCATCAAATCTTGTTCAAGGATGTTTATTTAAAAGTTTATTCAAGTTTACTTTTTTTTGGGGGGGGGAGTGTTTTGAGAAAGGGTTTCACTGTATAGCCCTGGCTGTCCCAGAACTTTCTCTGTAGACCAGATTGGCCTCAAACTCACAGAGATCCTCCTGCCTCTGCCTCCCAAGTGCTCAAGTTTACTTAAAAAAAAAAAAAATGTCCTTTAGGGCT